CTGACTACTGAGAACTGAGAATCTTTGTGACTAGCCTAGTCTGGGAAGATGCTTTTCCTTAAATGTTAGACCTTCTTGAGTCCCTTTTCTACATGCCAGTAATGGTCTGCAGTTATATTTACCATCCTGACCTTTCCCCTATAATCTCTGACACTGCCACCAAACATACACAAACACCTTCGGTCTTTGCATAGTCAGGAGGAAAATTAAGGCAAGAGAAAATCAGGCAATAATGGTACTTTCGGGAAAGGCTGAGCAGCCGGCTCTCATGGCTGTTTTCATCAGCAGCTTTCTCTGTCCAATGTTTTCCAAGGAGGCTGGGTTTGAAAAGGCTTATGAATTCTTTTAGCATAACCTTTGTTGGGAAAATGAACGACAAGTGGTTCATTTATGCTGAGCCTTTTGTCATCAGCATTTATGGCTACTCTGTTTATTCGCTTTGTAAAAAGCCATTCTGAGGGCTGATGAATGTGCTTTACAAGAGAATATAAGAGCCCTGCCATTTGTTTTGATTGGGCTCCATTTGGATTCATAGTGAGCAGGTGCCATCATTTGGAATTGGTTTTGGCAGTGGTTTGGTTATATAAATACTAGATGAATGGACGGAAACTTTATTTAAATTGTTTTCATCAGTACAAATAGGAGAGCTTTATGTGGTATAGAAGACTTTTCATGGTTCTATTTTTATACCTTCTAAACATACAAATGTGTAACACACCATATGTCTGAACATATGTATGTATAAGTGGCCTCCACTATGCAAATACATAATATGCAGATTATCTGCATTTCTTTGAGAGTTTAGGCAGATATCTTTTGTAAAAGAAAATCTGAGACTATGATTTCCTAATATAACTGAGTTATTTCCTAGTCTTAACTTTGGAAACTATGTCAAGGGTTGTTTTCAGTTTGATGTAATTTTTGTGGTTTATATCTAAACCTGAGAAAATGGCCCAACACAGTTTAAACCCTTTGGGTTTTATTGATCTTTTGTTATTGTTATTGGTTGCCAAAGCCCATTGAAGAATACTGAACCTCCTTTTTTTGCAGAACAGGGATTTAAACTCAGAGCCTCATGCTTGCTAGGCAAGCACGCTACTACTTGAAGCAAGCACTCAACCTTTTCTGATTTTAGTTATTTTTGAAACAGTGTCTCACATGTTTGCCTAGGCCAGCCTGGACCATAATCCTTCTACTTATGCTTTCTGTGATGACAAGCATGTACCACCACACCTAACCATGGATGGAGCTGAGTCTTGCCAACTCTTTGCCTGAGCTGGACTTGAACCACAGTCCTCCTGAGTTATACTGTCTGAATAGCTGAAATTACAGGCATGAATCACCATACCCTACTCCATACCTCTTCTTAAGCACACTTGGAGGAAGATGGCAAACTTCCTACCTTGCCAGTAAGTCTGTGGAAAGCTATGGAGTACTATAAAGGGTTTATTCTTTAAGGTAACAGAATCCGAATACTAAATACCAACAGAGAGTAAAAAAAAAAAAAAAAGACTGCCTGGCATGTATTATTGCTAGCTGAACTGCTATCTCAACATTCAGCATATGACACCAGAAGTTGGCTCTGTTTAGTATCATTTAAAAAATAACTTCTAGCGAGGAGTCTTGTGTGAGATTACTTATCAATGTACTGCTAAGGAGACCTGAGCCATATGCTTAATACCCTTACATGGCCTTTAGAATTTCTGCATTCCCAGCTCTTGCCAGAGACTGTAACTGTGAGCGCTCTGCTGTCCAATCCTTATCAAAAGGCTGGCAAGGAGAAATGCTATTCAGAGAGGGCTGCCTAAAAGATAATACAGTCAGTGCCTCATTGAGAGACTTGAAATTTTATTCATGGTTTATGTCAGATCATCAGATAGCTTCCCACTGGGGTCTCCAGACATTAGCTTCTTCTCTGTGTCATGGCAGGAGAAGACAAATGAAAATGATACATCTTATCATGGAATTTTTGAATTGCATGTTAAAAGACTCACAGTGCTTCCATAGTAAGAAAACCAAATCAGGCACCCATGTGCTCCATGCCTGTTATCCTAGCCACCCAGTAGACTGAGAGCTGAGGATCACAGTTCGAAGCCAGCCCAGGCAAGGAAGTCCACAATATTCTTATCTCCAATTAACTACCAAAAAAGATCTGAAGTGGAGCTGTGGCTCGAGGGTTAATGTTCTAGCTTTGAGCAAAAATGCTTAGAGACAACACCCAGGCCCTGAGTTCAAACCCTGGGGTAGAGTGGGGGGGGGGAAGGTACAGTGAAGTCCTCACTTGCAGTTCTAGCACATGTGATGTTATTTGGGAATGTTTTTTTGCAGGTATTATCGAGTTAAGATGAGGCCATAAGAGTGGGCTTGAACCCACTATGACTAGTATCTTTGTAATAAGAGGAAGATGGCATGTGTAGACAGACACACACATGGGCATGCTATGCGGTGAGAGAGGCCAAGATTGAAACGGTACAGGCTTAAGCCAAGGAATGCCAAGGATGAATGGCCACTGTGGAAGCTAGGGGGAGGGGAAGAAAGGATCCTGCCCAGACCCTCAAAGGGAGCACAGCACTGTTGGTACCTTGGTTTGGGACTTGTAGCTTCTGCAACTGTGAGGAAATAGTGTGCTGTTTTCAGCCATGCACTTTGTGCTACTTTGTACGAGCAACCTGAGGGAAGTAATAAAAAGCTGTAGAGGCGCAGAAAGAAATGCAAGGTCAAACTCCTGTGCAGGAAGGAGTCACAGAGTCTGGGCTGCTCTGTGGGGGAAGAATGCTGCCCTGTCCATGACTTCCTGCAGAAGACCCAGCCAGGAGGCTGTGATGGCCACACAGCCCAGTGGCAGGCAAAGTTCCCTCCTCCTAGGACAATCTGAGTGGTATGAGTGTGTGGCTGCTATAATAGGCTGAAAGAGATCTCTAGGTAATGGAGGTTGTGTGTAGTTATTTGACTTATTAACTCATTTTTATAGCAGACAGAGCAAATTTAGTCCTTGTATTTGTTTTAAATACAAAAGAATATTGCTGAGATATAGCTCAGTGGTAGATATGTTTCGTTAGTATGAACAAATTCATACTAGAATGAATGGGCTTGATTGCCATCACAAAACATATGCAATGATTTTAGAATAGAAAGAACCACAGGTAAAATAAAATAATAACCTTAGATTAGGACTATAACTTAATTGTAGAACACTAGGCTGGTCCTGGATTCCATCTCCAGAACTGAGGAAAGAAAACTCACACTTTAAGATGACTAGGGTGGTGTCTGCCTATAATCCCAACACTTGGGAAGCTGAGACAGGAGAATTACATGTTGAAGACCAGTCTGGGCTATGTAGGAAAACCCTGCCTCAAAAGAAAATGGTGTGCATAAGCAAGCACACAGGAAAGTTTAAAAAAAACTATACAGCAAACTGTGGACATTGGTTCTCTCTGGGAGGAGCTAGGGTAGGACCTGACTCATTTCACTTTATACCTCTCTGCATTTTAAAAAGTTGATTACTGGGCTGGGAAGGTGGCTCGGTGGTAGAGTGCTTGCCTTGCATGCATGAGACCCTGGGTTCAATTCCTCAGCACCACATAAGCAGAAAAGTCTGGAAGTGGCACTGTGGCTTAAATGGGAGAGTCTAGCCGTTAGCTGAAGAGCTGAGGGACAATGCCCAGGCCCAGAGTTAAGGCCCCAGGACCAACAAAAAAAAGTTGATTACTGCAAGACACTAATGGCTCACATCTGTAATCCTAGCTATTCAGGAGGCAGCCACTTTGGGTAGGAAAGACTCTTTATTTTTCCAGTTAACTACCCAAAAGACAGAGAAGTGCTGCTGTAGCTCAACTGGTAAAATACCACCCTTGAACAGAGGAGGCTAAGCGACAGTGCCAGGCCCCTGAGTTTAAACATCAGTCCCAGAGAGCATGCACACGCAGAGACACACACACACACACACCACACACCACACACACACACACACACACACACACACACTCTGATTACCAGCAGGGCATTGTAATACATGCCAGTATTCACAACTACTCAGGAGGCTGAGGCAGGAGGATTTTGAGTTTGAGGTCAGCCTAGATAACTTTGTGGGTCCTTGCCTCAAAATAAAAAGCCTTGAAGATGTAGCTCAGTAGAACACTAGTCTGATGTATATAAAACCCTGGTTTCAGTCCCCAGTGCCACGAAAAGAAATTTGAAAAGTTGATTACAATAGAATGTTTTATATAAAACATAGCCAAAGAGATTTATTGAACCATTCTTTCAAGCTGTATCATTTAAGCAACTGAAGGGGAAAAAAAAACCACAGTTGACAGGGACAATATTGAAGCTCTGTCCACATTTGAAGAGAATTCTCGTCTCTGAAAACCCATGGGAAAATGTGCCTCCAGCCCCTCAGTCCAACAATATCTGTGGTTTGAACAACTGTATTGTTCTTCTCTTCTGGACATTGAGCATCTAGCTGCTGATGTGTCTTCCTTTGCTATGGAAACTGGGGATGTTGGAGTCACTGTAGAGATGCAGTTTATTCTGCATCATATCAGATCACGTGGCTTTCATTCAAAGGGTGGTTCACTAGTGGGATCATCTTGTTGCCTACCTTTTGCTTCCCTTTACACACATCTCTTTCTTTAAATTTTAACTGCTTGATGGGTACTGGTGGCTCACATCTATAATCCTAGCTACTCCAGGAGGCTGAGATCTGAGGATCATGGTTTGAAGCCAGTCTGGGCAGGAAAGGCCATGAGACTCTTATCTCTTTATCCAATTAACCACCAAGAAACTAGAAATGATGCTGTGGCTTGCAGTGGTAGAGCATTAGCTTTGAGCAAAAGAGCTCAAGGGCAGTGCATAGGCCTGAGTTCAAGACCCAGGACTGACAAAAACAAAAACAAAAAACTTTAGCTGCTTATGTTGTATGTATGTATATGAACCTCAGATTCTTTGGGGGATTTAAAGCAGGGGATATGAATAAATACTAATCAATGATTTCTATATTAACAGGAACCTGGGAAATAAAACAGTTTCCAGAATGAATAGGTTACCCACTAGTACCAACAACAGATGACTTGCCATTCCCTTGACAAAGGTAAGGAACTAAATTCTATATTTTTAATTGATTCTGACTGGCACAGCATAAGCCTTTGCTTTTTTATCGTAGGTTTATTTACAAATGTGCTAAATAAAATATGTATCTAGTTCATGACCTTTAATTTTGAAATTACCAAATTTAAAGCAAACCTCAAACAACAGAAATGGACATTTAGTGAATGTCAGCATGACTGAAGGAATAAAACCCAAGAGATGTGGCTCTGCCATTAATTACTATCTGTGGACATGTTTTTAATAGCAAGAATGCTTTCCTTCTCTTTTGAATGTATACTTAGAGAATATAGCAAAATATTAACACTGAAGATGACGAATATATCTATAATCTTATCATCTGTGTGTCTGGGAATGTCTTGCCTCTTTTCCATCTTTTATGTTTTATGTATGGAGAAATCTGAAATTACAGTGTTCTAAGACACAATGTTTTTGATCTCTAGTTACCTTGGTTTCCACAGCAAATCACTAGTTCATTGCAAATGATGAAGTATAATTGGCCTGTAGCATGAAGTCTAATAAGCACAAATAGCAGCCACCATGACCATGTGACCAGTTTCCTAGCTTCTCCCTGAGGAGTTCATTTGTGTCTCCTACCTGATGTGCCTGGTTCATGTTGTGTGACCTGGGTCCAATATCACTCTAAAGAAGGAAAAACGACAACTTGGAATCCTGATGATAATCATGGCCCTGTTTATCATCATCATCTGCTTTGTGCTCCTTTTTAAAAAAAGATTAATGTTTTAAATGAAAGTTTGACCATTTTTCTCCTCCTTTTTCACACTATAAAGTCAGGTGTGGTTTCCAAAGTAATAACAGGTAGTTTGAGTCCATTTCATCACCTGCCCTTCCATCACGCCATTTTATCAATTTCTCATTTGGGATCCTTTTCAGGCATACTTTCAGAGACCCTCTGGAAGTGCTTCCATCTTTAAAAACAAAAAGTTGCAGTACATTAGAGGTGGTGCTTGCGGCAGCGTTTTTCAGGGAGGCCTTCATGAACTTGGTTGTATGAAATAGAACGATAGTGTTTTACCCTGGGCTGCTATTAGAAAACCTGTTAGTTTTCTTAGGATTTTATTCAGTTTCCACCAAATGTTATTCCCAGGAGAGTAGAAAAAAATCAATTCTTCTTTAAGCAAATTAAGCAGATATATTGGGAAGCATTCGTTTATGGACCAGCTCTCCTTTAGTACGTCCCATTCTAATAGGGACAGGTTAAATGGACAGGGAGAAAAATGGAAAATGAAGAGGGGATATGGGTGAGTTGATTGGCAGCTAGTAATAGACATAGTGAGGTGGGTTTGTGTGATCCATGCTTTCATTCTCCCAAATGGCTTGGGTCACATCAGGCTCATGACCTTAGGGGCAAACCCAATTATTCAGCTCCAATGAGAGAAGTGACTGGTGAATTCTGTGATGTAACAAATGTTGCATTGAAAACCCAGGATTTATAGATGTGCTTTAAAGACTGGTAAGAAAGTCAGAATTTTTATTCCTCTTGGTGTGTTAAATATCTTTCCTACAATGTAAAATGAGACCTTTCAGTAAGGTGGTTTCCTGATTATACGGTTATTCTCTTAATCGCAGATGTAATTAGTTTGAAAATTCAGATGAAATCAAATGTGAAAGTCTTAGTCTCTTAATGATAATAGTATTTTACCTAAAAGCATTGGAAAAAATGCAAAATACTCATAGTTTTTGTATGTAGAAGTGCTAAACTTCTGTGTGCCATCACTATAAAAGAAACAAAAAGACATACAACATGAGGGAAATAGTAATAATGTGCTTAGCAATTGATGAATAACCTTAAAATTTAAAAACATTCAAGAAAGCACTAATAATAATAACCATTATTGATCCAAAAAATCAATAACTAAAACTGTAAGACCCAAATAGATGGATGGAAAAAAAATGAAACTCAAAATAAGAGATACAAAGAGCTTAAAATGACCCAGAAACAATATTGCCCTTCACTAGTCATTTTCAAAAATGCAGATTTAAATGGGGAGGGGGGCTTTCTTTCACCTGTCAAATCAGCAGATATTTACAGTGATAGCAGTCATTGTAAAATGTATGTTGAAACAAGGTCATAGCAACGAATGTGGGTAGACTTAGCAGTAGATAGTAAAAGCTGAACAATATGACTTAGTAATTCCAAGAATCTAGTAAAAAAAAAAACCCACCAGCAACAAAGATGCAAGCTCAGAATAATTATTTGTATTATTTGCAGACACCAAACTCTTGAACTGCCTCAACTGTCCTTCAGTATCATCATTATAACTACAGTATTGAAGACAAGGTGGAGGTCCAGGTGCTGTTGTATTATAGCAATAAATACCATGAGATTTTGATGATCAAATGTGAACATGCTTATGACATCAGTATTCATTGAAAAATACTGAGCATGATGGCATTATATTATTTCCACAGAACAAAAGCTAGAAACATGAATGCTAGAAATGTGAATAATGAGGTTGCTTAAGGGAAGTCAAATTAAGAGTGCTTTTTTTCTGATTCATATTTTTTGGTACTTTCCAGATATTTTTATAGTAAGTGTTCATATCCAGATGATAATTTTTAAATGGCTTTGTGGGAAGGAACTTCTTGACATGGTATGGTTTTTGGATCTTCTGTAGCATTTTGCTTCAAGCTTTACAGAGTGAATTATTCTACCAAAACCATTTAGAAGCATTGTTCTAGAAAGATTGAGGAACACCGATTTTGTTTTTAGTATCCTGAAAGTTTCTTTCCTTTTTTAGAAACAACAGCGGTAACTGCAAGGAAAACAAAGCTTGAAAATGCATTCTTGAGTTAGCTATCATCTTAAAATGTTGTATTTTCAAGTTATAGTTTACACTTAGATGGGAATATTTTTCTCTTATAGATGTCGTCGGCTGCTGAAAATGGGGATGCAGCACCTGCCAAACAAAATGAAGAGAAAACCTACAAAAAGGTGAGTGTCCTATTTTCTTTCTTTATTCACCTCAGGAAGCTCTTTTCTACTGTTGGACGTGTTGCTAGCATTGTACGGGCTCCTCTCCCTCTCCCTCCAGAGACGTTTGCTTGCCTTGTCGTTGCCAACTATATCTGCTTGGCACAGACATGGTGACTTGAATAACACAAATGCATTATCTGTCGTTCTGAAAGCCAGGAGTCTGTCAGGGCTCAGATGAGTGTCTACAGTTCTTCCAGAAGAATCGGAGAATCCAGCTAGAGGTGACCTACATTCTCCCTATCATAGCTCCCTCTTACCTTAAAGCCTGCTATGGCCAGGGAGCTTTTTCTCAAACTGTATTCTTCTGCCACCCCAAAGGACCTGGGAGGTGACATTATGCCCCTAGATATCCAGGACCATTTTTTTTTCTTACAGTCAGGTGGTCAGTAACTTTAATGCGTCCTGCAACCTCCCTTGCTCATTGGCATGTAATGTAACACCTGCATAGGTCTTAGGGATTAGGAGTAAGAGATTTGAGTGTTGAAGGTTTATTATATCTTAAAATTTCTTTTCCCCTTTTATTCCTGATGGATGGTTAATCAGATGTTTGGGTGTTTTGTTTTTTTTCATAAAACACATGAATCATATGTTCTGACCACATACATATTCAGGTCACGGGACTCACAAGAGACATTTCCTGTTCAGTCTTTATGTGAGAGAATTTGTCCTCTTCTGGGGAGGGCATTTCTCTGCATAATGATAGTGATATACATAATTGAAAGGAGATGGTTATTTGAAGAACCTTCCTTTCCTAAGAAGAAGGCTCTTAAGGTGATACAGTGATTTGTGGCCAGTATAGGACTCCTTAGACTACTTTCTATCAACATTTTAAGCATTTTCTACTTTTGAATTTTTAATGAACTTGAAGTATGAAATGCTCCTCCTTTTGTTTTTCAAGTTTTTCCAATTTTATGTCTCATTAATTTCACACAGATCTCTTTTTTCAGGCTTCCCAGTCAGTATGTCTTTCCTTTGGATTTGATAAATTCTTGACTCCTAGAAAACAAGCTAATGTTCCAAAACAATATTATAGATAATGTCCCCAAATATCACTACTCCTGATTACATGTTGGCTGTACATGATAAGTTTTCAAAGTACTTTCTCCCTGCCTTCCTAGGAGTAAGATTTGAGTGTTGAAGGTTTATTATATCTTAAATCCTTTTTCCCTTTTATTCTCGAGGGATGGTCGAACAGATGTTTGTTCTTTTTATTTTGTTTTTCATAATCATATGACCTGACCACATATCAGGCCACAGGACTCACAGGAGGCATTTCCTGTTCAGTCTTTATGCGAAAGAATATGTTCTTTTTTCCTGGCATGTCTTTTATCTGATGTTTTCACTTAGCCAAAAGCTAGAAATATAAAAAAAGGATGTTGTCATCCAAAAGGATGATGTGGTTAGAGAAAAGAACTCAGAAATATTACATTATTCCTTATAAAATTTGTATATCTGAAGGCAGTCACTCGTGGTTCACATAGCTATCATCCTAGATGGTCCTGAGAATTTGAGACCTGAGGATCATGGTTTGAAGCAGCCTGGGCAGATAAATCTGAGAGACTCTTGTTTGCAGTTAACCAGAAAACAAGCAAGAAGTGGAGCTACAGCTCAAATGGTAGAGTACCAACCTTCAGCAAAAAAGCTAGAGGACAGCACCCAGGCCCCAAGTTCAAGGCCAAGTACACACACACACACACACACACACACACACAATGTGTATTCCTGACAAAAGGTAATAATGCATTGTTACTTTTAGTCAAGGATGGAAAATAAATTTTATCTCATTTGCCCAAGACTGTATAAATTTGGTCAAGCATAAGACCAATGTAGAGGAACCTTTTACATTGCCAGCCTGTCACAACTTCAGCTCAGGTTCAGATCAGTATCCAAGTGTACTGAACTTTTGACTCAGTCTGACCTACAGGAGCTCCTTCATAATGTGTACATAATAGGAAGAACATAATCATGATATCTTGACATTTTCCCAGGTGCCCTGCCCTAGGATTTAAAAGCAAAGCAGGTCATCAATAGAATGCCATTCACAATGTAAAAGTAATGCAACAGTTCATAATAGAAAATGTGATTAATGTAACACAAACTATATCTTGATAGGCTTATCCTATAACTTATGGGATTCTAACATTATTGTCTCTCACAGATATTTGACTCAGCAAATGCTGAGAAATTTATAAAAGCAAAAACTCAGATGCTATGAAAACAAATACTTTCAATAGATAACAAGAAATGAAGACACATACGCACATGCGTGGAATAGCACTGGGAAGTTTTTATAATTCTTATTTTAAAAGGAATATATGGGCTGGGTTGTAGCTCACTGGCAAAGCACTTGTCTAACAGGTACAACATCCTGAGTTGGATCCCTAGTACCAAAACAGAAAAGACAACAACAAAAAATACAGTTAAAAAGGATATAGATGATGCAGGAGAAAGTATATAGTCCTTCTAAGAAAAGCACCCTAAAAAAGCTGGTCTAAAGCCGGGTGCCAGTGGCTCATGCCTGTAATCCTAGCTACTCAGGAGCCTGAGATCTGAGGATCGCAGTTCAAAGCCAGGCCGGGCAGGAAAGTCCGTGAGACTCTTATCTCCAATAAACGACTAGAAAACCAGAAGTGGCACTGTAGCTCAAGCGGAAGAGCGCTCGCCTTGAGCTGAAGAGCTGAGGGACAGTGCCCAGGCCTAGAGTTCAAGCCCCGTGACCGACAAAAAAAAAAAAAAAAAAAGCTGGTACTTAGCCCTCAGTAAAACAAGAAAGAAAACAAGTGTTGCTTTACTGAGAGATCAAAGTCCTGTTTAAATTTGCAATTTAATTCTTTCCTATTAAGCAGAACAATCTTCAAACTAGAGGAGGTGTTAATGATGGTGTTAGACAAGATGGTAATATGTGCTCTTGCAAATGTGTTTATCTCTTAGCCCAGATAAATCATTTCCCAGATGAAAGGCCTTGAAGTTAGAAGCGGGCAGTGGCTGGCCATGAGCTTTGAAACAAGCCCAGGAATGGGAGAATTGTCATAAGCAGGACACAAGCAAATCAAGTCCCTACTTTTAAGAATGGGGAAAATGTACATTCTAGAAACTAGATAATAAGTGAGACATCATTTCCCAGCATAATTTGAGCGTGATTACTAAACATATGGTTTATACATAGTTAGAGGAGAAATATGTCTTTTATAAACCTGGGGAAAAATCATCAAGCTATTGTTTATGTCACATTAACCACATTTCCTATTAGGAAAGAGTCCTTGCATTAGGTAAGGAGAATAGTCAGACTCAACGAATCCTGGTTGAAAATCTTCAAGGGGAATTGTCCTTTCAAGCAACATGGAGAAATACGGATTACATTCCATGGAAGTATGATTGGATCTCATTGGATCAGTGGTCCCTAACTAAGAAAAGCTGTTGGGTTCCCTGCTCACTCACTGTTACTATCAGCACCATGCAGGACTTACCTTGCTGTGTCATTTAATGAGAGCATAGAAACTTTGCTTTGAAAAATGGACAAATGACAGTGAAACTGGAAATGACAGCCCACAGACAAGATGAATGTCACCAATCTACCAGGCACTTCATCTACTAAGTCTTTGTATCCAGAGACTGGTGGTTCCTTCCTGCAATCCTAGCTACTCAGGAGATTGTGATCTGAGAATTGAGGTTCAAAGCCAGCCTGGGCTGGCAGAAAAGTCCATCAGACAAATTAACCAGCAAAAAGCCAAAAGTGAAGGTATGGCTCAAGTGGAAGAGCACCATCCTTGAGAAAGAAGCCACACATGAGCCTGAGGCCCTGAATTCAAGCTTCATTACTGGCACATGTGCATACACAAGCGCGTGCGCACACACACACACACACACACACACACACACACACACACACATGTCTTTTTTCAATGGCTCAAAACTAACATCCTTTTCCAATCCTAAAGCTTTGACATGTATTATGAATCTGTTTAATAAAGAACTACAGTAGCCAAGTTGCTGGTGGTTCACAACTATAATCCTACTACTTAGGAAGCTGTGATCTGGAAGACTGAGGTTTGAAGTAGACAAATCCCCAAGACTCTTATTTCTAATTAACTAGTAAAAAGCCAAAAATAAGATTTGGCTCAAGTGATAGAGCACCAACTATGAGTGAAAAAGCAAAACAGAATCAGAGAGAGAGAGAGAGAAAGAGAGAGAGAACATTCTAGTGTTTTTCTTTTTTCTATTTTGTTGTCAGTCATGGGGCTTGAACTCAGGGCCTAGGTGCTGTCCCTGAGCTTTTTTGGCTAATGCTCTACCACTTTGAGCCAATTTTTTGTTCTGGTGGTTTTTTGGAGGTAAAAGTCTCACAAACTTTCCTGCCCCGGCTGACTTAGAACTGTGATCCTCAGCCTCCTGAGTAGCCAGGATTACAGGCCTGAGCCACCAGCTCCATGCCCCATTGTGTTTTTCTGACTGAAACCAAAGTCTGTATCCCAGATTAAGGACCCCACACCCCATCTACTGTGCTAAGATGCCACAGGAGTCTATGAGAACTTAAAATTAACTGGGGGAGACCAGCCATGAAAACAATCGTAGGATACAAGTCTGCAATGGGGTGATCAAAGAGATAATAACCCCTGACCCCGGCTAGACTGGCTTTGGGTTTCTATTGAAGCCCCAGAGTTACTGGACAGTTGCCAGCAGCACTCAGCATCACGAGTGTCCTGATTTCCTTGTGCATTTAGGGAACACTCAGTGTCCGTGAGATCATTCTGAACTCTCTATGTCTTGACTATTTGCACATGATTGTTTAGGCCGCCTGCTTTTGCTCTTCTAGTTGACCATTTCCTTAATCCATTATCAGTTCTTGGCAAGCCGAAGAAGAAGGGTTAGATTCAATCTATGAGGTCAATGTAGTTCAGCTACAAGCTAAAATAAGAAGCCTGATATAATTTTTAAGCTGCTTAACACAAACAGGGTAA